CCTGGGAGGCAGAGGTTACAGTGAGCTGAGATCACACCACTGCACTCCAGCCTGAGTGACAGAGCAAGACTCCGTGTCAAGAAAAAAAAAAAAAAGAAAGGAAGAGAGAGGTGGATCTCAGAAAGGCCAGAAATGAGCTTTCTAAAGTCCAAGGCCCAAGAGAGGGGACCCCCTTGCCTCAGTCAAAGAATAACCTTGGTCAATAAATTGAGTTTTGGGGTCAAACTTGACAACCACATGATGAGCAATTTAGGTAAAGTCTTTCTGCCTCTGTTTCATCTTTTTTTTTTCTTTTTTCATCTTTTTTCTTTCCTTCCTTCCTTCTTTCCTCCCTCCCTCCCTCTCCCCTCCCCTCCCCTCCCCTCCTCTTTCTCTTTCTTTCTTTCTTTTCTCTCTTTTCTTTCTTTTGACACAGGGTCTTGCTGTCTACCCAGGCTGGAGTGCAGTGGTCCAATCATGGCTCACTGTAGCCTTGACTTCCTGGGCTCAAGCGATCCTCCCACCTTAGCTTCCCAAGTAGCTAGGACCACAGGTGCATGCCACCTCACCCATCTAATTTTTGTATTTTTTTTGTAGAGACAGGGTTTTGCCGTGTTACCCAGGCTGGTCTCAAACTCTGGAGCTCAAGGGATCCTCCGGCCTCAGCCTCCCAAAGTGCTGGGATTACGGGCATTAGCCATTGTGCCCGGCCTGTTTCTTCATCTTTAAAATGGAGAGAAGATGTATATTCTGTCTTCCTCACAGGGGTTTTCTGAAAATAAACTTTGTTGAAACCGTTGAGCTCCTTGGTAGAATGGTGTTATAAAAGCAGAGAGCGTTATTAAAAGGTGGTATCTTTTCTAGCATGATTTTAGAGAGTAATTAGGTCTCCCTGACACTCCATCTCCTCTCTCCTTCTTCTCCTACCTTTCTGAAGTCGACCACCAAAATCATTCATTTTTGTTTTCTTTTTTTATTGAGATGGAGTTTCACTCTTGTTGCCCAGGCCAGAGTGCAACGGCGCGATCTCGGCTCACTGCAACCTCTGCCTCCTGAGTAGCTCAGATTACAGGCCCCCGCCACAATGCCCGGCTAATTTTTGGTATTTTTTTAGTAAAGACAGGGTTTCACTATGTTGGCCAGGCCGGTCTCAAACTCCTGACCTCCAGCGATCCACTCGCCTCAGCCTCCCAAAGTGCTGGGATTATATGCATGAGACACTGTGCCCAGCCCAAAATCATTCTTTTTGGAATTTTGAAGCATATAGTTCCAAAAGGTATGAAAGTAATCGCTTAGATTGCTCTAATAAGGGAATGGGCAACAGTTAAGTCCTATACAAACAAGACAAAGATAAGATACTACAGAAAGGGGATGAGCCCAAGAAAAAAAATCAAAGTCCCAGAGAAAGAACAGCCATTGATTCTAAATACATAAGTCTATGGCCCCAAGCCAAACTTGTGTCACTAAGAGCAACCTGTGGTTTCAAGAATCTGGTCATCCCCCACAGTGAATACATGAACACATTGTAATGTTTGAAATGTTTATTTTTCTTGTTGATCTCTACTGTTAGAAGAGCCCAAACCTCCAAAGTGACTAAGTGATTCGGCCAGTTTGTACACAGGGATGTAAGTTTGCTGACACCAAGCTCATACTTTACAAATGTAATATCTTTATAAGACAAAAATACTGGCCTAGGCACGGTGGCTTACGCCTGTAATCCCAGCACTTTGGGAGGCCGAGGCGGGCGGATCACGAGGTCAGCAGATCGAGACCATCCTGGCTAACAGGGTGAAACCTCATCTCTACTAAAAATACAAAAAGTTAGCAGTGTGTGGTGGCGGGCGACTGTAGTCCCAGCTACTGGGGAGGCTGAGGCAGGAGAATGGTGTGAAGCGGCCGGCGGAGCTTGCAGTGAGCTGAGATCACTCCGCTGCACTCCAGCAGAGCGAGACTCAAAAAAAAAAACAAAAAAAACCATATACTCAATATCAAAAGCTAGAGCCTATAAGAGATGCCCCTTGAAAAAGAAGCTTACAAGTGTGAATTATCTTCCCTCCAGCCCTTAGATTGGTTTGTCTTTTAGTATATTTCAATGAGCTTCCGCCTCCCCATCCCATCCCCGCCCCCGGCTCCAACACCAAAACCCCAAGCCCCTCCTCTAGGTGACTCCTTCCAAATACACAGGAAGGCCCTTCTTTGTTGCTGTTTTTCTGGAGAGGCTGATTCTGTAAATGTAGCCTGGGTGGCTTGAGGTTCTATTCTGAGATGACCCTGGCATCTTCTAATTACAGAATCAACCTTCAGGCAGCTGTGGCCTTGCAGACTCTGCTGGAGGTCATGGAACTACAGAAAAGCTCAATCTTATCATTCTATTGAGGCTTTTAAATTGGAGATTACCTAAATGGCATTGCTTGGGGGTTGCTTTGCTATATCTCTTAACTCATCTGCGTAAATGTACATGTACACATTGTATAAAATACAAATGATTTTCAATGCTCCTGAGTTTTTTTGGTTGATACTCATACTGGTTGCTAGAAACTCTGAAAAAAATAGAGTAATGCAGGAAGTCAATGAAGAATAAAAAATAATGTATTCTAAAATGTTTTAAGATGAATTTATTATGATTAAGAAGACCCGGTGGGGCACGGTGGCTCACGCCTGTAATCCCAGCACATTGTGGAGCCAAGGCGGGCAGATCTCTTGAGGTTAGGAGTTCGAGACCAGCCTGGCCAACATAGCGAAACCCCGTCTCTACTAAAATTACAAAAATTAGTCGGGCGTGGTGGTTTGCACCTATAGTCACAGCCACTCAGGAGTCTGAGGAAGGAGAATCACTTGAATCAGGGAGGTGGAGGTTGCGGTGAGCTGAGATTATACCACTGCATTCCAGCCTGGGTGACCCAGCGAGACAGTCTCAAAAAAAAAAAGAAAAGAAAAGAAAAAAGACGAATACCTAATAGCTGAAGTCTTGGAGAATTTCTGGAGAGGGAGAAATGCCTCAAAATAAAATAAATAAATAAGTAAATAAATAACAAATAAGAGGGATAAAAGGACCTACAGTTCAAATTGAGTCAGCTTAATTCCAATACACAGTTAGACATAGAAACAAATCGAGCAATCAATGGTCAAATAAAAATGTACCAGGAATTATCATTATTTGTGCAGTAGACCATGTATTGCAGAGGCTCTCAATCAATTCAATTTAATTGGACCAATGCGATCCTATTCTGTATTAATGTGGCTCCTGTTGACACGTAAGCAAGATTCAAAATTATTATTGCTTCTGGACTTGAGTAAGATGTTTGTTCCGTTTGT